TCATAGGAGAGCAGTTAAATCATTATATATGTACAACATCACACCATATTGTCGTCATTGACAATGGCCATCATTGCACTCATCAAAAACAAAAACGAAGCCCCCCCCCCTCCCCCCATTTTAACTTTTAAAAAAATCCAATTGGTTTCCTCCACCCTCAGAGCTAACAAAGGAATAGATGCCTTCATCCTCATTTCACTGCAAAGATACTCCTATCTTCTTGTTTGAAATCAGGGGAACAATTTTGCATATACCCTCATCTGGGTTACGACAATAGTCGGTAGACATGCTGCTAACAGGTGGGGATCCTCCGTCCACTCTAGGTGGCTTTCCTGAGAGTAAAGAAAACAGAATCTTTCTACAAAATTTTTTTTACAGAGAAATATTCATTATGACAACAGTGACCTACAACATCAAGCTACATTACTTAGAAAAAGACATATCACAAGAGAATGACGAATGTTAATAACAGGCAAGTCAGTAATGAGATCAGTTCTAAAAGGTACTTGCATGCAGCTACTAGGGCTGGGTCACGAGCGCGAGAACGGAACTGAATCGCCACTCTTTCCTGCGGAACGCGATTCACGATTCACTTCAGCGGAACGCGGAACAGTATCGCCAAACGATTCCCGATTCACTTCCATGTCGCTGTCACCACCTTGTGGCTTGTTTAATTAACCTGCTGCTGAGTTGAGTCACGAGCGCAAGAACGGAACGGAACACTTAGTATGGCTCCCCTTATTTTACAAAAGAGGGTATAGTCCAACCTCCCTATTAAAACGAAATGAACGGGGTCCAACCAATAGACAGAAGGAATTTTATGGAGCCATTGTTTTAGCGAATGGCGGGGTTCGAGGGGGGGGGGGGGGATTTATGGGGGTCACTAAATGAGGTCAGTTCATTAAACAATGCAACAAATAGTGTGGGGCGGAGAGGATGGTGGAACAACAAGAGTGGGACTCGCGCTCGCCAAGAGGCGTTGATATGACACTGTTCCGTTTCAGTCAGTGTTCCGCCACAGCTCCACGAGCGCTCGCGTACTCGCGATTCATTGAAGCCGACTGAATCGCGAATCGCCACTCTCAAATTTGACGAGCAGGATCCAGCCCTAGCAGCTACGTCTAAAAGTCTACACATGTACAAGGGGATATGTCTTAGATGACACTCATACAATCATATTTAGGGTGACAGATTGAGCTTACTTCATCCCAAAACACCCATTGTCAACTACATAAGACAACTATTGTGCTAAAACACGTCTGCTCAGACATTTCAGCGACCCTCGATCAGCACTGTTCAAGGGACCACCCTGAGCGTACATCTAGATCTAGTTATTGCGCACTGTCGGCATTGCCGATCACAATGATGTCACAGTGCTAGAAGGAAGAAAGAGAGAACTATACACAGCGGCAATAGAAACTGTTCACTTGGAAAGAAGCCTTTATTGTGGTTATTATTCAATATGTAAAAACAAAAATTAACACAGACATATTACAAAGTATGTCAAGAAGTGCATTATCTTTTGTCTCATATAGTGGCACAGTGTTAAGCACAAACGGGTACCCCTTGATTTCAAAATTTCACGCCAGTAACGGACATTGTAGCCCCTTGCAATGATGCAAGCTTGGCATGTACTGTGCATTGATTGAGTCAATTTTTTTGGGCTTATTTTAATTAATTGTTGTGGCAGTCCATTCCACTCTAGTTATGAGAAAGTACCATAATCTCAAAGATACCGGAGCAGTATCTAGTAGTAGTAGTATAAGGTTTTACGGCGCTCGCAACTGCTAAGGTCATATGAGCGCGCGAAACACAAGTTGTTCACCTCTGCGAAAGTTCACTTCACGACTGGTAACTAATTTACTTTAAAATGCTAAAAAGTTAAAATATTCAAATTCGGTGTAAATACATTTGTGATCTAAAACAACTTTTAAGTAACAATAAAAATTTTAAATAATATCAGATTCACTTTACAACTCGCCATAAAGGCCAATGGCCTTGAGCAGTATCTGTCTAGTCTTTTTGGGCCATATTGACCTGTGGTCTGCCTGGTCTGGGTCTGTCAGGTGTAACTCCAGTGACTTGAAACCAGTTTTTCAGGATATTGATGGTAGGATGGGAGCAATGAAGCATCAGCGCCACTCTACGGGCCAATAGTACACCTCGGAGTATTCAAATTGCCCAACAGCGCTCCTCGGGGCTTAACCTTGGCAACTTGTACAGCAATTTAGGTAGACAAAAACCAGCTGAAATGTCTATGTGACTTGTTTTTTCGGTTCTAAAATCGCTTACGTATTGATTTAAACACAATTTAGATGATTTCATAATTTCGGCGGAACTTAAGTCACAAAACATGTTATTTTGCATGTGGGTCACGTGACTACGTGGTTAAATTTTTGTTGAGGAAAAAGATCAGCGCGGAGTCATCGTTAGGTATATGGTGAGTGATGGGCAAAATTTCGCTCACTTACTCAAGTGAAAAAGGGAGCAGTTACAAAAAAACAAAGTGGAAAGTTTCTATAGCCGCAGGTTATACATTTGACTGGAATGAAATAACTTTCTGTTGATAAAGCTGTACAATTTAACCTGTTATTTCCACTGGGTTTTTTTCCCCATTACAGTGGAATCCTGTTATAACGAGAGGGAGGGGACCGGTGCGAAATGTCCTTTATAGCAGGATTCTCGTTACAAGGGATCCAGTAATAAATTCAAGGGAAATTGTAAAGTAGGCCTAATCAATGAGTTTGGCGTTCTGTTTTTCCTTTTTGTATTTCCCCTGATGGTGATTTTTTCAACATGATCTCTAGGTCTTACTTGATCAAAAATCGAATTAGGTTTCTTTCTCTAGCACTAGCAATGTTGACAGCTCGGCGTTGGCGATCAGAGAGAAGGGGCTCTGGCTCTGGGCTAACTCGCCCGCTGTGTTGTCCCCCACCCCACCACACCCTATGGTGTGTTGCATCTGCTCGCGCACGTCACACATTCACTCTATCCATCTATCACAGCATAGTGATCTCTCCATCCCGCACCAGAGAAGTGAGAGGCACGGTATGCCTAGATAATCTAGACTGGGCTGGCCTATAATGCGATGCATTCTGCTTGTCTGCGCATGCCACACCCTCCCCACTCATTCGCTACGGCCTCCATCGTTGGTTCACGTGGGCTCTCCCATTCTTTATTTCTCTGGATCACGAACAACTTTCTCAACTGGCAAGGTTTATTAATATATGTTTAATTGGTCTGTGCGCTGTGCACAGCAGCAGCAATATTCCGTTAAAACCGACTAGCGTGACGGTCTGATTGCGCAATAGCAGTATTTTAAGAGCCTGCTTCC